TAGATTGATGGGATTCATGTTCAGGTCCTTACTTGGTCAAAGAGCTCCCTGAATTATTTTGGGTCAGTCAGTCTCTGAGCCCAAGCTCCCTCACATCATTATTGTTGAAAAGATAAAGGGATGCTCTTTTATCTAGTGGGACCCAGAAGTACACCTCTTCTGTTGCAGCTTATCTTGTGTCCAGTAGGTCACACACTACTAAGAAACTTGTATTTTTATTCAAAGATATGTATTTTTAAAATGCCATGCTATTGTGGTATAATGTATTTTTTGTTGTAGATTGAATGGGACTGTCAGAACAGAATACCTGAAACAAATTGGGGGAATCTAACACAAACTTCTTTCTGTAGTTCAATTAAAAAAAAAACTTGGTTAATCAACTCTTCTTTAGCCATTTCATTGAATTTGCAAAGGCATAACTTTTTAGTTCCTTAGAAAATGTATAAATCTGTATTTATAAAAACATCACTTTTTCTCTGCAGCGTTTGGCAAAGGCATCAGCCTGATGTATTTCATTGTCAGATTTAATTCAGGCTGCGGTCCATCTTCCTCCTGCTGCTTGGCTCTTGGGGAAAAGGGTCTCAGCAGCACCTGTGACTTTCTGTATAAATGAAGTTCCTATTATGAAAAGAGTGCAGTGGTTAGAATGCAGTATTGCAGGCTAATTCTATTGACTGCCAACTGCCAGCAGTTTGACAGTTCGATTTGCACTGGCTCAAGGTTGACTTCGCCTTCCATCCTTCCGAGGTCGGTAAAATGAGGACCCAGAGTGTTGGGGGTAATATGCTGATTCTGTAAACTGCTTAGAGAGGTCTGTAAAGCACTGTAAAGCACTTGTTATTGCTATTATTATCAAAGCTAATGGAACTGAAGTGGTGCAGAATGTCCCCAAGTTCTGTCTTGTTACCCTTCCTAATTAGGCACTCTGCATAAGGGATTATAACATTAGGTACAGATGTGGCTTCCAAGGAAAGCATGTTGAAGAAAGTTATGACAGCTCAAAGTGGAAGGACAGCTTTGGAAATGTTGCAGAAACTCTTCCTGATCAAAGAGCATGCCAAACATTGTAGTCAGTTAACCATATTTGTACGTCACTTAACCAAACGTTCATGGTAATTTCACCACACATTTTGACATATAACAAGGAGACATTCATCATTACCATCACCATTTTGCTTTTATTCTGAAAAAAACCCTTTTCTAACATATTTCATCACCACCGTATATAATTGAGGCATTAAAAAAAATTAAGTCACTATTCATGGTTCAGAAACACATAGCATTTTGCTGTTGCTGCTGTTGTTATTTTTTTGTCGCATAATTTTAATTATTATTGAAATTTTGATCATTTCCCCCAAATAGACGGATTCTTAGAAACTTAATTTCTGCCCTGAAATTAGCATAAAAATGACTAGTTGAAACAAGCATTTTCTCCTCTGCAGGAGGAGCCTGTAGTATTTGACAATAAATCTCTGAATCAATTTTGAAAAGCACCTTAGGTATTGGGATTACAATAAATAAATATATATTATATATAAAATCTGCTTACTCCAACTCAGCAGTGTAGCAAATTTAGTTATAATAAAATGTATGTGGTTGTTCATTGTAGTATCGTATACTAATATCAAATACCAAAAAAATGTATCTTGAAACTGGGTTCTAAAAGTAGACTTAAAAGAAAGGTAAATAAAATCCAAAACTGTATCAGTTAAGAAATTTATTCTAGCATATATCTAGTTCTTAGACTATTTCCATTCAGCTCTGATAGGTTAATACATTTCAGATTAGCCAGCATACTTGTTCAGCCTTTGTGTTTTCAGTGGAAAAAACAAATGATGGTCTCAAAACCCCTTGCTAGTTTTCTTTTAGAAAATATATATAATTTGAGATGTGCAGCAGTTGTGCAATAGCCATTTATGTTGTCATTCTCTGCTTTCTATGAACCACGAAAGACTTTGGGCTCTAAAATAGAAGCACAATCATGGCAATTCAATAGATGACAAGTTTTCACTCCTCCTCCCATCTAATTCCAAACATTTCTGCTTTGGGTCCAAATGCTACAGAATTTCTGCAGTCTACAAGAAGGAACCCAGTGCATTTCAAATGAAACTTTCTGTTTCTAATGTTACGTTACCTGAATTGGTGCTTATGGCCAAATGTATAGCTCATGACTTGCAGAGCTATTGGAGATGCAACATATTTTTCTGTTGATAATTGTATTTCCTGAGAAACTTGGCAGCAATTAGATGGGTACAGAGATTAAGACTCGCCCTGTATTTTCCATTTATAAATAAGATGTTTGCTTTGCTGTTTTATTTTTATTGTTCATTTAGAATTTTGATTTTTTTTAATGGTTTATCATTGAATTGTCTGATGGTTACTTTTGAATTTTCTGTGTTTACACTTTTTTGAGCTAAACTCCAACTCCTGTAAAATTGTCAAATAATTTTAGGGCTGCATTTGTGTGCAAAAAAGAAAAAAAAAGAATAAAAGAGAGACTTATACAGAGATAAAAGGAAACAGCTTGGGGTGGGTGGGTGACGTTTCCCCTTTCTAGTTCTCTTCAAGTATTTCAGATTCCCCAGAAATAAAGTTTCCTAAGAACATTTGGGGGGAAAAAAGTGGTAATCTCAAATTGATCTTTGTAGCACTTATCTTGCACTTATCTTTATTATGGTAGAGTGCTGTAATGATAGCTTTGCATGGGTAATGCGGTAGTATAGTGCCTGCATTGAAATGGTTAATTCAGTTGAATGGGGCAAAAAAAGAGATAAATCTGCATTATTCTTTCATTATGTCACTTCTTGATCTTTGTTCATTTACCAGGAGATTGAGGATTTAGATCCCTGTTTGTTTGTTTTTAATCCATTGTGTTTTGCATTATTTTATATCTGCAAGTGATATTTGGGGGGACTGCCCAAATTATTAAATATTTTTCAACCTCTGCTATCCTATACCATCATGGTTTGAGACCAGCATGGATCCAGAACCCATACAGCTTTATTCTCCAAAAGGCAAGGAAGGGCTAGTTTGGAAGGAACACCCTGTCCCCCTCCCATTCCAAAGATAACCTGTCATGATATCATTTCATCTTTTTCTTCTTCTTAATGGATTTTCTCTGGTAAAACAAAATTGAAGGAATTGGTGGGAAAAGAGATGAGAACATTTGAACCTTCCCAAGCTATCTTCCCTTATGTAAAATTCAATGAATATATATTATGAGCCGGGAGGGTTAGTAATTCAAACCTTATTGGCAGACACCTTATTCCAAAAATTTCAGTGAAAAAAAAAATTTGAGACATCAGTCAGGCTAAATCTCTTGACACACCTTTGTCTTTTTGACTAGAGAATTTTCAACTGCTCTCCCATACTTCTACCACAGCCTCTCCTTTCAACTCAGCTCTAGAGAAAAATAGAAAGGAAAGTGTTTTGAATCTTTTTTGGCCAAACCCCAGAAATGTAGAATTTAACAAATCTTGTGCCAGATATAAAAGTTGTAGCTGTACAACAGTGAAGTCTTGCTCATGGCGAAGGTTTTAATGAGGAATTCCTGTTTAAAATGTATAGATATAAAAAAGGATATATTGAAAAAGGAGGAACACAAGAAAAAAAAAGAGCCAACAATTGCACACACAGAATTCCAACAAAAATCTGTACAGTCTGCCTAGATAATCTAGTAGCCTTAGTTTCAGCAAAGGTTGAAGTCCATTGCAAAGGACAACTAGAAAGAAGTAATCTGATTTTCCTGCTTGGATGTTGTCAGATAGGCCTTCCTCATCCTGTTCTTTTTCTCCTTGAGCAGCACCCTATTTTACACAATACAGAAGATAAATGAAAACTTGATTCTTTGGGGAAACTAATCATGCAAACACCTGCATTTGATAGGTGTAGCTAGTAAAACAGAAAATTATCCAGTGGCTGAAGCTATCTTTGTAACAAAGGAGTGGAAAAATGATAAAAAGTGCTGAATGATTTTCACCAGTTATATGAAAAGGGGCAAGCTTTAGCAGAAAAGATGAATTGCCATCTGTTCAGGTTTCTTGGAGTGTTTTGGGTGATACAATTATGCCATACACAAAGTAAATGTTTGTCACATGAGAACAAGGTGATTTGCACAGTAAATAAAGAAGTAAAAATCACCTGCGAGAACTGCAAGATAAAGTTCTTCTAAATTTGCATTGTGCTTTGTATCAGTTCTGGGAAGGATAGAATAAACTGTTGAAATTAGTGGATTGTTAAATACTCATTTTCACTCCTATATCTATTGTTCACAGTGAAGGATTTTTGCCAGAAGTCTTGGTAAAGTAGTAAACTGTCTTGACTTTGTTTGAAGTTCTAATATTGATTCTCATGCTTCAAAATAATTTGTTGTCTAAAGTGTTGATTTCTGTATAGATAGAGAGCTGTTCTCCAGAACCTGGTTTGGCTTTGAATAGTCAAGAGTTTACATACTGTAGTGTGAAGTGCTCTATTTCAAACTCCCAACTGTGTCTGAAATTTACAGTGGAGTGGAAAAGGATTTGAAAAATATCAACCTGAAGTGGACACACTCTCTGCATTGTACTTGTCACCTAAGGGCCATTTATCTGTGCTTGTTGGGCGTTTCCGAAAATAACTTTTATGCACTTTTGCAAACACACATATATCCTATTCACTTCTGGTAGTGAAGTTCCATTAAAGTCAAATATTAAAAATATGGAATAAAGCAAAAGTTAGAACTGTAAGCTGTATCCAATTTGGATAAATATTTTAGTTTTAAATAAATTATGTTCCAGTACTTCAAAGAATCTTACCTATGCACAGAGGACACGCAAACATGTACACGTTTCTTTGAAATAGCATAGCATATTTCTGATATAAATCTGAATTTTCTTCTGTTAGAAGTGCTTTATACTACTAGCAATATAGCCAAGCAATCTATGGTATAAACCAAACCTTGCCTTTTTCAGAAGGTAGATTCCAATGAGGGAAAATATGCATTAGTTTTCCAAGTTTACAGCATGGTGCACATATGCTATGATCAGCTTTACGCTCAGACAGTCAACAAAACTACAAAACCTAGAACTGCTTGGAGATCTAGAAGTGAAGGTAACAGGAAAACTCTTGATCAGACTCAAAGACCTCTGGAACTGGCCACAATGATGAACAAATATGTACCCAGTGAGATGATCCATACCCCATCTTTTCATAATTGCTTTCCAATGTCAGACACAAGTATGTAAATCACTGTGTTGTTAAATCATGTCTTATCATTTTCCTCCTCCTTATTCTTCCCATGGATGCCTGTAGTCAAAGTGTAGATGACCTTATAATAACCTTTTTACATGGCTATCCCTTGGCTATAATAGTAAATCTTTTACATGACTATTCCATGGCTGTTCAAGAAGGCAAAACAGAAAAGTCTTAGTATTGAGGGGTCCTTGGTGCTCTCTGAGCTTGGTTGTTTTCTTGCAGATATTTCATTACCCAAACTAGGTAACAATATCATGTTTTGATGTTATCTAGTTTGGGTAACGAAACATCTACAAGATAACAATCAAGCTCGGAGAGCATCAAGGACCCCTCATTTCAACTTGGAGCTACAAATATTCTCTATCAGCCTTAATATTCATTTAGTTACCCACCCATACTATAACTAATTTTATGATTATGAAGGCGAATATACGTGTCCCAAAATAATGTTACAGGATCCAATCTGGGTTGGTCATCGGGATCAGAGTCCAAGCTTTCGGACTTGTGCTGGAGTCCATCTTCTGGGAACTTCTCTCTAGCCAGTTAATCATAATTTATGATTATTGTAAAAATCTATTTTTTGCTTCTTATAGTTTTGAACAGTTGTGTAATAACTTTTTTCAGTTAAGAGTTCTGCTAGACATCATTACTGCTGTATCATAGCTCAAATGTGCAGTTTCTAGATCCTAATAAAGTAATGATGCACTGTTGTTCCATTTTATAGTGCGGCATCGACCTTGTTCTTCACCTGGGAATTTGAATCACCTGCAAGGTTTTGTTTGTTTCTTTTTATAGTACTCAGTCCTGAAAAAGGAATGGGAAATAACCACCCAATTTCTCCTCCTTCAGATCAGGAAAATTAAAATGTGCTTAGTAGCAGCTTCTGTACCGATGTCGTGTTTCTCATAAGTGATTCCTCAGAGTTCTAAGTTCTGTCAGTGCTTCTAGGTTATGTTTCATTGCTAGGAGATTCCCCACCCTCTCAGCTATAACTGCCAAATATCATTCAGATGCTGATAAAGGAGCAAAAAAGGCTTGTGATGGATTTCTAAAGACATGCCATGGGTCCTGGCTTAGCTAAGAAACATGGAATTTTAAAATAAGAAACTTCCTGGCAATGAGCTATGAAACCAGTTGTGATCTGCAGGAAAGAGTCCATGAAATGAAATAAATTATTAACCACCAGCTCAACGGGAACAACTGAACTTTCCTACAAAGATTGCCCTAAAGGTAGTCCTCAATTTACACAATTTGGACTGGAAAATTCATTATTATGTGGTGCGGTTGTTAGGCATCCAATTTTATGACCTTTTTGCACACAATTTTATGACCTTTCTTTGCCATGGTCATTAAGCAAATCCCTATAATAATTAAGCAAGATAACAGCTGGCTATGATTTGCAATCTTTCTTACTGGCTTTCTCACTTTGCTGTTCAGGAGCTGGCTGAGAAATGGTCCCATGAGATGGTTGCATGAATTCAGGAAGCTGCAGTTGTTCTAAGTGTGAGCTGATTGCAAAATGCCCGGATCGTGATCAAGTGACCATGAGACCACTTTTTTTCAGCATTGTCATAACTTTAAATGGTCGCTAAACAAATGGTTGTAAGTCGAGGAGTGCCTATATTAAAATAATATAAATGCGCTTAGGTCAAATTCTAACTTCATTTTCACCGCTGTTGTTTCTGCAGGATATAAATTTTAAATGAACACATAACCTTTTAAAGGAAATTATTTTGAAATTTATCAGATATTTAGCAAGATGGATTTGTTCTTTGAAAAGTGAGTTATATCAACCCTGAATCATGTTATGTCAAGTATCTAGCACTAGCTGCAAAGTTTGGTATCATGGTAAATAGATTGGAGCCTCTTCACAGAAAGTTTCAATGTTATTTGATTCATTATTTGATTTGATTCAGTCATTCTATTCCTTTAGAGCAGGGCTTTTCAACCGGTGGTACGTGTACCACCTGTGGTATATTAGCATGTGGCAGGTGGTATGTGGCCCTGCCCAGCTAAGTGTAGTGGGGGAGGGAACGAGCCAAAGCAGCGCAGACGTGCCTTAAAAGAGTCCTCCAGAGCTGCAAAGTGGCTGGGGTGAGGCAAAGGCCCCAGGATTGGCACTTCTGGCTCACCTGGAAGAAAAAGGAGGAGGAGGGGGAGGAGGAGACAGGAGAGGCTATAAAAGGAGGCAGTTTGGGCAGGTGAGGAAGAGAGAAAAAAAGACGCAGTCTTGGGAGGAGGCGGAGTCAGCTGTAGCTCCACTGAAGGGAAAGGAGGAGGGTGGGAGGAGAGGAGAAATCAAGCAGGCCGGCCATGAGCTGATCTACAACTTCTGTGGCAGCCATCTGTACTGGCAGCAATAAACAGGCAAGAAACGCAGTGGGGGAGGGATCGCCCTCCACGAGGAATGAAGAAAGGAAGCATCCGCTGGAGATGAGGCATGGAGAGAGGGAGATGGCAATGAGAAAGAGGGAGGGAGGAGCAGGAGGGAGGGAGGGAGGAGGTGTTTAATGGCAGAAGCGAAGTGCTGTTTCAGCTGAACAACAAACCAGGAGAGTGGAAGGATTCTTATGTGCTTTTGTGACTTTGAAGTTCTGGGATTTGTGCAATGTGGGCTTTGTGTTCTTAAGGAATTGGCAATTGGCCAATTGTTGGCAATTTCTATTTGGCTGATGGCTGATGTCTCGTGTTAGCTTCTATTGCTCTGCTATTGTTAGCTATAAGTTTTGCTGCAAGGGATTTTGAAGTATTTTTCTCCTGAATGGATTTTGCCTGTAGCATTCCTTTACTTATGAATGGAGCCATTTGGGGAGGCTGCCTTAGCCGCCAGCCAGTACTTACTATGGTTTTTTTTTCTTCCTTAAGTGCCGGCTGCCAGCTCCTTAACTTTCGTTTCTAGCCAGTAGCTAATTCTTAAAGGGGAATGTGCCTTTTTAAGCTAGTTCACTCAGGGGCTTGTCTTTTCTGTGTCTGGAGGCTTTTCCTTATTTGATAAATATATGGAAGAGGGAAAATATGGGGGGGGGGGTCAAATTCTTCCTTCAGAAGGAGATGGGAATGAGAAAGAGGGAGGCAGGGAAGGAGGGAGGGAGGGAGGGAAGTCCCGCCTTAGCACTTGGCCACCAGCAACCCTGCCATTGACTTTGCTTGTCCAAAAGATGCAAAAGGGGATCACATGACCCTGGGACACTGTGACCATCATAAATATGAATCAGTTGCCAAGCATACAAATATAATGGGGATGCTGCAATGGTCATAAGTGTGAAAAATGGTCATAAGTCATTTCAGTGCAATTGCAAGTTTGAACAGGTTTTTTGGGGGGAGGGTAATCAAGTTTTTGACACCTTTCTAGGTGGTACTCGAATATTGCCATATCCTAAAAGTGGTACAATCGATGAAAAGGTTGAAAAGCCCTGCTTTAGAGTCCCAGGTTGTGATATTAAATGTCAGCATGAAAGTACTCCCATTAATCAGGCCAAACTTGGTTATGCACTAAAAGTCACATTTCACAGTAGAAAGTATCAGCAACTTTCAACAAAATGCAAAGCAAGCATGAGGTGAGAGATCTGGGAATAGGATTTTCCTCAAAACCTTATGCGCTATTTTCTTGGCAAGGTTTTTCAGACGTGGTTTGCCATTATCTCCTTTCCAGGGCTAAGAGAGAGTGAGTGGCCCAAAGCCACGCAGTTGGCTTTGTGCCTATGATAGGACTAGAACTCACAGTTTCCTGGTTTCTATAGTCTGGTGCCTTATTCGCTACACCAAATTGGCTCTTTATATTAAACCTCCATTGTCTCTCTGCTGCTTGATCAAAACTATTCTTTTGCAGAAGGAGTATAGGCAAACTGTGTTTTATTTTTATTTGTTTTGAATTTTTAGTTTCCTACCAAATTCTTTTACTTCTTCTTATGGTGGAAAGGAATTACAATATTAATCTATTCCCACTGTGATGTTATTGTAAGTTTGCATACAATGAACCTTGTGCATAAATTATACTATTGAATCATAATAGTTGGCTTGGATGAATCTATGACATCAAATTCCATCTTGGCTGTTACTGGCTAGGCTGAGAAAAAACATGCATATTTTCTTTCATTGGGTGGGGATATCACCTGTCTTGAAGGAGTTGATGACATAACTCTTTTTAAAAAAAGAGTTTTATATCTCTATCATTAAAATAACTTTAGACCAGGATTAGTTTCATCTTTTCCAGTCAAGGTAGGTCTGAGAGTGGTGGTAAATCAGTTCTTAGTAAAGCTGGGTAGTTTTCTGGGTCTATTTCAATTTGATTTCAAGACAAGTCATGACGTACAGATGTATTAGTTGACCTAGTGGACGATGTGAGAGACTAAGATGGGAATGTTTGTGCTTCTGATATTTCTATGGTTTTTGATGTCATTGGCCTTAGACTCCTCTTGGACTGTCTTGGGAAGGTTTGGGGGATGGGGCAGAGAAGAGAGAAGCAAGCCATGACTCTACTATCTACTATTAGGATAGTATAGTTCTTCTCCTATCCTGGAGGCAGATTTCTGATGAGATATTTGGGGAATACTGATCCATCTTGCAGTGCCTATACTGTGTAGTACAGTTCTTATTCTGGCTGTTTAACATCATATGAAGTTCTTAGGTATGATCATTAGGAATTGTGCATCTGGCTGACAATTTTCCTTAGTGTAGGTATGCCAAGTTCCTGCATGGCTCTTTCAATAAATTGAAACATTTGAATAGTGTAGTGCATAGATCTAATACATCTAGTTCCAGTTTACATGGTCATTTCCCACTTTTAATGAGGAAGTTGATTGTCTGATTTGGAATTCTGCAACTATTCTATTCTATTCTATTCTATTCTATTCTATTCTATTCTATTCTATTCTATTCTATTCCTATTCCTATTCCTATTCCTATTCCTATCCCTATTTCTTCTATTCTATTCTGCTTATGTATTTTATTGAAATATTCTCCTATGGCAGGGGTGTCAAACTGCCGGCCTGCGGGCTGGTTTCATCATACTGGAGCCACGCCCACCCCATTGCCGGCAATGGCAAAAAAGCTCCGATACATTGCGCGACGTCATGTGACGTCGCGAGTTTGACATGTCTGTCCTATGGCAATGTTATCAGAACTATATATAGATGAGCATGGTGATGTAGTGAGGAAGTGTTACATGAAGGGAAAAACTAAGGGGATACATAATTCAAATCTCCTTGAA